CATTCAAGCAACAAGTGTGGGTTTATGGATTTGTGATCCTAATTTATGTTTAATGAAAAAATTCAAATAAGGGCATGAAATAAAGTTGTTTTCTCAAAGAGAGCTTCGAGAGTAGACATTGTCTCAAATAAAACCCCAAAGTTGGCCAACTTAGTTTCAAATAAAGCTCTGATGACATTTTTAAAGCCATGTTCATAGTCATTTACATCGAGGATATTTTGTTTCTTTTTTCTTTCTCTTTTCCTTTTGTTTTTCTCCCTTTCTTCTATTCATCCTCTTCTTCTTTTCTTTTTCCCACTTCCGGTGTCCGGTTTCCCTTGATGTCATAAAATCGCCGGTGACCTTTGTATTGGCGTCGGTTACGACCTCTCCTCCATCCACCGTCGGCTGTACTACACTGCCGTTCGCTCTGTTCTCACTCGTGGCCAAGGCTGCCATATCTCCGAGCTCTAAGCCATGGCCACAGCTGCCAAATCTTCAAGTTGGTGGCCATTGCCACTCTAGCTTCCAGCTCAAGGCCATGACCACGCTCTGTCCTCCTCTATTATAGAAATCAAGTTCAGTAGCTTATGGTGAACCTAAAATGCATGATGCAATTCAAACATCTTTATATTTGCACATGCTTTTGGCCTCCATAAAAAACACTGAACTTCAGATCATGTTAATTGAGTTCATAGGATACTCCAAATTAACTTCATGCAAAAAAAAAAAAAGCTACTCCAAATTAACAAACTAAATGAATTAAATCAATGACTCTCACATGCATTGCACAAATCCAAGATTTTTCGTTTGAGTCTGGTAAACATTTCCTACCACGACTCAATGCATAAACATCGCAAATTATAGCCAAATGGAGAGAGAGAGAGAGAGAGACTATGGCCACAAGCATGAAATTAGAATGGCCATAGCCACTAGCTTGGAGATCCTAGTGGCCATGGTCAAGAGCTCAGAGCTGAAGAGGCTATGGCGTGAGCACGAAAGTAGAATGGCATTAGCCACTAGCTTGGAGATCCAATGGCCATGGTCCAGAGCTCAGAGCTGAAGTGGCCATGGCCATGGTTGAGAGCTCGGAGATACAATGGCCATGGCCATGAGTGAGAAGAGAGAGAATGGTAATTGGCATCATCGAGCCAATGATAGATGGAAGAGTGATCACAGGTGACACCGGTACATAGGCTCATCGACGACTTCATGATGCTAAGTGAGATCGGACACAATGAATAAAAAAGAAAAGAAAGAAGAATAAGATGAACCGAAGAAAAGTGGAAAAAGAAAAGGAATGGAGAAATAAAAAAAGAAAAATAATGCTCTAGACGAAAATTGGCCACTTTAGGGCCAAACTGAAGAAAAGGTCTAATCATGGCTGGCCTACAGTTTTATCACTTCAACCAAAACTAATTAACTAAGAACGACATAAGTTGTATTATTTATATTATTTAGCAAGTATTATCGAACTAATAAAATAAATACATGGGTGAATGATAAAAAAAATTTACATAAATGATATGATTTATTTAATTGAACCAAATATATTATGGACATAATTTGTATGCCCATCACACAAAATATTAATTTAAGATATTTTATAGAATCTTACCATTTGATTTGCACTCTCAATTCGTGATCTGTGAGTTCATTATTTTAATTCACAATACAAATACCCCCTCCCAAGCGTGCGAGTTAGCAGAGTTGGTTTTCTGCGGATGTGTAATTGGTAGTGCTGTCAAAATGGGTCTATGAATTTTCCCCGCCAAATTCATGTGTTCGATCTAGTGCCTCAGTGAGCTCGTCTACCGCCTTCATCGCCTCGAGGTCGTCCCTCTTCTGGGCCTGGATCGAGGCCTCTGTGGACTCAAGCTGGAACTGTGGCTCCGAGAAGAGGACACTCGACACGAAGGCTCTGCTCCGGGCGCTCTCGATATGCCCTGTAGTTTCTCGAGCTCGTCGAGGATAGGGCGAGAGTCTAGCCACGACTGCATTGCTCTGTCTCTGGCTTTGCTGATCTCATCCTTCGTTCTGGTGAGTTGGGTGAGTGACATCCATATCTCTCCATGTTTGCGACTTTAGCTGTGATAACCCTTCGGAAATGTGTTGATTTATGTCCCGGGCTGTGATAGCTCATCCTTCGATAAGTTGGGAGCTCTGACACAGATTGGGTTTTGTCTCCCGGGCTGCTACTTCATCTGGATAAGGCTTCCTACAGGGAGATAGATAATGGAGAGATTGTATAGTCCCGTAGTATTTTGATTTAAACAATGTTCTATCAATTCTGAGTAATGTCTTTGTTCCTCGTACATCAAACACCTCCCCAGACCCTGCACTGCGGGGGACACCCATGAACTACTAGGTGAACATGAAAAGCTGTGTCAATTAAATATTTGGTTATTATTGTCCTCTTCTTTGTTCCTGCATTTTACATCACTTAATATCCTGTTCATCTCTTCAAATCTTAAGGACAGAACACTTGGCTTTAAGTCATTAACTGCAACTTCTAGCTCAAATCATCTGGCATGACTGAATAACTCTTATTTCTGGCATTAGCCAATAACAACAATGTTCTAGATATGACGCGAGTGGAAAGAGATGTCATTGAAGGTCGCACAGATTTGAGGATCTCAACGTTGGCAGGCCAAGATATGGAGATGGACAGGTTTCGTTGTTGTCACGTAATAGTGCTTGTATATGCAAAACAAAGTTGTTCGACAAACCTGAAGAACAATTGTTTCCCAGGATAGAACGGATCGTCTTTCCAAAGAAGCGGTACTTCTTCAAAGGAAATGTTCGAACGCAACTTAGCAGAATAATCGCACAAATGACAATGATGAAGAAAATGCAGTAGAATGCCGTGCGGAAAAAGATGAAAATGTGTAGAGTATGTCGAGAAATAAGAATGCTACGAAGAGTCACTCGACTGAACAGAACAGTTCGATTATATATAGCAAAAACAAAGAGTCACGAGCAATGAAGACACGCGTGAACCGAAGTGTTTTTTTCGTTTGGTTCGTGAACAGTCTCGACCGAAGCAGTTTTCGTTCGGCCGAACTGAACCTCATGAACAGACATGTTTGTTTGTCAATAAATAAATAAATAAATAATTTCTAACAAAACATGTCTGTTCGGGAAAAAATAAAAACCGAATGGAACGGACCCGGCCGGACCGGCGGCGGCAGCGGCGTGCGCGTGGGGGGGAACCGACCTATCACTTGACCGAACAGAACAGTTCGGTTATATATAGCGAAAACGAAGAGTCACGAGCAATGAAGACTGCGTAACGAAGTGGTTTTTGTTCGGTTTGTGAACATCGCGTCGACGGTTTCGTTGCGAATCGAACCTCACCAACAGACATGTTTGTTTGTCCAAAAATAAATAAATAAATAATTTCTAACAAAAAAACATGTCTATTCCGGAAAAAATAAAAAGGAAAAAATAAAAATTGAATGGAACGGACGACAGCAGCTTGCGCGCGGGGGAGAACCAACCTAGCTTGACGTAGGTCCTCTCCCTTCCACAAAAGTGGGGTACCTCTTGGGGCCAAAACCCATTTGAGAGGCCCATCTAAATAAACCATCTCCCATCACAACTTCTATCCAATGTAGGACTATTTCCATCCACACTTCTCATTCACAATTTATGGATTTTGGATACTAAAATCCCAACATCCGTATCCTTGCATGTTGGAAAAAAGCTTGCAGCTGAAGGCATGCACGAGTACTCACGTTCCCTCTGTAAGTCCTCAACTCCTTCCTATGCATCTACGAAGCCCTTCGTGTACTGTCCAAGAGTCTGGTTTGGCAAATCAATGACGATTCTTGAATCATGTGAGAGCGACGTGCAAGGCTGGTGAGTGGTGACCCGAGAAATCTTGATTTCGTTCTGTTTCTGTTCGAGAGGATGAGCAAGATAAAGCCTTTGCCTTCTGCCAAGGATTTCACCCTGTCGTTAGGGGTCACGGCACAGATATAACGTTTCTCAATTGCGATTTGTACAATCGAGCATATTCATTTATTAAGAATAAAACAAGACTTCTTCCTTCTAAGGGTCCTCTTGAGTTGTCTGTGTTGTTTAGGACTGGTTGATTTCCAGTTCTCCACGGTCTGTAAAATGTTGAAACTTGGATGCCATATTTATTTATTACTTTCAACGCTCTGATCAATGCCTGTCTTAGACAAAGTGAATCAGCACAACCTATGAGGCTGCTCAACCGAGTGCAGCAAGTACGATCCAAACCCATCTACACTCTTATAGCTCGTGGATTCTCGGCTTATGCGAGGGTCTTCGACGGAGTGAGGTTTGGATTTGTTGGAGCATATGTTGACCAAAGGGATTCGGCCTAGTGCCGTCACTTACGCTTCGATGTTTTATGTGGTGTGCGACCGTGGCAAATGGACCGTAGCTGTCCAAGCTGATGCAGCTAATTATTAGTGAAGGCATTCGGTTTAGTGTTGATGCTTAAAGCCATCTCATTGGAGTTCTATGTTACTCTTTCCAACTTGAAGAGACTAGATGATAGTTTAACATTATGGAGCAAAGCAAAATAACCCCGAATTTTGCAACCTTCGATCTTAAAGTGCATACACTTTTTGCCTATTGGGAACAAGGGCAAGTGTTGCGGAGGCAAGAAGAGTACTTAGGGCTGATGGTTTGTAAAATGAATTAAGCACGGGCTCTAGGGAGTTAAGGGATTGCTAGGTGGGTTCTTATAAGCCTCTTGCGAGGTGGCGCTTACCCTTCGTAGAGGCTCTCCCAAACCCTACCGAAAACAACTTGATTTGTCGTTTATTAGTAGTTGAATGAGACTAAAGTCGCTACAAACCTATTCTAGGCCAATTAGGAGCTAAGTAAGGCACGGTAAATCGCCTTAGTTCTGCAAACTATAGATTTCGGATTTGGAGAGTTGGTTACCCTAGTTTTATCTAGGAAACTCTAACTAGCAAATGATAACAAATAATAAACCATCAAAGAAGATGCACACTACCTTACTTATTCCTGGAGATCAAATGGAAGTCTAAACATGAAGGATTAATACTGAGGTACATATGAAGAAATACATATGGAGTCGATGATATCCAAAATCAAATCTCAAATTACAATTCAAACTATTATTGAATGAAGTGGATTATATTGTATTTGGGAGCAATGCAGAGGAATCTGAATGAGACGATTGTATAGAAAAGGTAGTAAATGTGGACACTTCGGTGTCATTGGTCTTGGTGGCATAAGACGTAACAATTTATGCCATAGAGAATGTGGATAGAGGTACCTGGTAAGTAGGGATTGGCAATTTTAATGGGAGAAGGGGCGGTGGATCGTTGAAGTTGAGAACGCTAAACGCTTTTCTTATGGAAGGACGGGCAGTGTGGTCCGGATGAGCACACCACAGCCCTACAACCATTAAGCACTCTAGTTGCATTTCATTGAAATCGGTACCAAGTTTCGAGTCTGCCGCATCAAGTAATCTCTTGGTCCCGTACAGCTCCCAAACCCAATCCACCAGCCAAACTTGGCCTTCCTTGGCCCTTGGCTCAACGATTTTTCTTCCACAAGCTATTTCTAATAGGACGGCTCCAAAGCTATAGACATCCGATTCCTTACTCACCTTGCCCGTGTAAATGCATTCAGGAGCCATATAGCCCATCGTCCCGGCCAACACTGTCGTTTGTATCCCTTTGGCATGGTCAACTAACCTAGCCAAACCGAAGTCCCCTAATTTAGCATTGAAATCGAAATCGAGCACGATATTGCTAGACTTTATATCCAGGTGCAGGACACATTGTTCCCATTCTTCGTGGAGGTAAAGCAATGCCGAGGCTATGCCTTGCGCGATTTTGTACCGCTTCTCCCAAGGCAAGAAGTTTTTTCTTTTGAATAGATGAGAATCGAGACTACCATTAGACATGAACTCATAGATAAGGAGGAGTTGCTTTTTCTCGTGACACCACCCAATGAGTTGCACTAAGTTTCTGTGCCGGAGCCGACTTATGGTCTTCACTTCGGTGGCATACTCTTTTATCCCTTGTCTTGACCCTGGGCTAATCTTCTTAATTGCGACACTAGCATTCATGCTGGTTAAGTAACCTTTGTACACTCTCCCAAAGCCCCCTTCCCCAAGCAACCGTTCCACTGCAAAATTATCGGTTGCTGCGACCAAGTCCTTGTAGGAGAATTTCTTGGGCCCCGACACTTGCTCGAATTCTTCTTCGATCGCCGCATCATCTTCTTCTCCACTCGTGTAAGTTCTCTTTCTCTTCAAACGTTGACAAAACCAAATAAAGGCTACAACAAGAATGAGCAAAATGAAAGAACCAGAGCTTAAGATAGACCATAGCCATAACTTGCTCTTTGGTGACGCATCTGTACCATTTGTTGGAATCGGAACTGCTGGAGCCGGAGCATTTGTGCCATTGGAAATATTTGTACCATTTGCTGGAATCGAATTATTTGCTCCGGCCACTTGCACAGTAGAGCTGAATTCCCATGCCTCAAGAGTGTGCAACTCGAAACCCCAACCTGTGGTAGCCGAGAAACCGAAAGTCACCCACTCCGGCAAATACTCAGTCAAGTTGGCTCTGTAATCGATAGTGGAGGAATTTATGTCGGTACCCGTGGCATTGGCGTCTATCATGAGAACGCTCAAGTTTTGTGTGCTAGAATTGTACGTTATCGTTGTGTTGATCTGCCCACCGCTCATGATTTTATCCTTGAACCAATCGACGCAGCTATAGTTCGCGGAAGTGAGATTATTCATGTCTATACCGATATGTGCAGCTTGTGGACAATCCGGGTCTGACGCTGGGTTGTAGAAAGTGTCGAACTCGACGGCTACAAACCATGCAGAAGAGTTGGAAGGGTCGCGATGTTTATCCATAACAGCCAGGTAGCCTCCGGATGAGTTGGCCGGGAGTTGAGACCCATTGGGCACAAGAAAGAAGGTCAATCCATCGGCGAACATTGACTTGTTTCGTGAATTGATGACGAAGGTGAATTGGGTGGTGAAATCCGCCACGTTCCCGGTCGCCTTATCCCAAAGGTGCATCGGCTGGTGGTACGTGGCCCACCCCACGCTCCCATGGAGGTTCTGGTCTACATAGGCCTTTGTAAGTTGGATGGAGTGGCTCGAAACCGACGCATCGCCTTCGAGTTGAATCCTATCATTGTTGAAAGTCTGGAAGCTGAAGTTCATCCCCTGTGACGATGCCGAAGACGTGAAGGCAATGGCTAGAGAGAGAACCAAGACTAGTAAGAGTGATCGAAGCTCTCTGGTCTCAAAACTCATGATATCTGCTGAGCCGTGAAGTGCCGTGCTCGTTGAGGTTTTCCACGCTGCCCTTGAAATCTGGGACTGAGCACAGCTCTTTGGTGTCCGTGGCGTGTTCCAAGGACTTCTCTTTGGTTGAAGAACTTGCCATCAATGTACCCGAAATTGACGGAGTCCCGCACGCGCTTCCACCACGACAAGTCTCTTGACTTTGAAAAAGGACAAAAAAAAAAGAAAAGAAAAGAAGAACGATTGAAGTGATGGCCCGCGCTCTCGACATAGACGAGAAAATATTAAGCGCCGTGCGTCACTCCCACTCCACTCACTGCTTGTGCCATTGCCACGTGTCCTAGTAGGGACCACTATTTTTTCAGATTCTTTTCTCTCTCCTCTCACCGCCTCTACGTTTTCTTCGTTACTCAGACGTAGAATAAATGAACTGATTTGACGTGATTTTGCAGTTAATTTTCTGACCCTTTTTCTTTTATTCCCCCTTTTCCTTTTCTTTTTTCGTTTCTTTTCTTTTCCACACCACTATGCACCTCCTTCCTTATGGCTCGTCTCCTTCTTCCACTTCATTGCCAAGAAGACATCACTGTTCATCTTCCGTTTTTTATGTGGCCACAGGTGGCAGCCACTCGCCCATATCCGCAATCTCTGTCTCTCCTCTCTAATCGGCTCCATTTTTCCCGCGAGCAAAAAGTAATAAAATCTCACTCGTCTCACATCGTCAAATCGCCTCCTCTCACTGTCACCATCTCTCCCTCCATCGAGACTCCCAATATCTCCAAAACAATCCGATTCTTCTCCCAACCCTCGAATCGTGCAGCTTCACCGATACTGCTTCAATTCAATCGTCATGATTCGTATACGTCAGTGAATCTGAAGAGAGAGATGACCCCTTCCCACTTCCTCACTCCTCTGCGACAAGAAACGGTCTCCAAAAATGGAGTTCGAAGAAGCCATAATGAAGCTGACCACCCACAGGCCCAACGAAAGAAAAGGTGGCCCCAAGCTCAACAGGTGGCACTATCATCATCTCCTTTCGCAGGTCGCCCAAACCCAGCTAGCCGAAAGCCTACCATCACAGTCGAGAAGCCATGCCCGATGAGCTCCTGTGCCCTGTTTCGGCAATGGTAGCCGGCCATCGCCGAGGTCCCAGTGAAGCCCCGCCAATCCTGTGCGGCGATGGTGGGGCGGCATAAAAAGAAGATGAATAGTAAATAAAATGAATAAAAGAAAAAAATCAAAACAGTAAAAAGTTTTAAAATTATAACACGAAGATTGAGACCATTGACAGTAAAAAGAAAAAAATTAAAAAGCTTATAAAATTTCTTAAAACAACGTGGTTTTGAGTTATACACATTGTATCACCAACCTTATCAAATAAAATGGCTTGCGCTAACTCATTCGCCAGTTAGCGATTCCAACCTAAATTGGTCAATTTTTCTCTTGGGTAGAAATAAATTGACCAAATAAACTATAATGAAAAATCGTCAAAAATTTAGGATTACGTTTGCTAAATTGAAAAGTTCATGACTGAATTGACATCCGTACATTAAATTTATCACTTTTTGGGTAATTTTCACCTAATAAAATTCAATCCCATTCTACTTCCTTCATTGGTCATTAAACATGTACTCTATAGGATAGCCTCTAATTACATAAAAACGATGGACTTTGACAAGTTGTTATTGATGCATGAATATAACTCACTTGTGCAAAGAGCCATCCAAGATCCGAAGTGTCACATATAAACTAATATAATAAATTAGTTTTAATATTTTAAGCACTAATAGGATATCATCAGACGGGGTCATTGATTATGTCATGTGTTAGACGTATGATGATTGCATTGATAATTGCTTTGCCATAGTAATACCATATGATGCAAAGAAAAACACTAGTTCAAATCATGCTAGAACAACAATGACCAAAGGTTAGGTCTACCGGACCCCTCTCTTTTTCTTCTTCTATTTTTTCCTGTTTTTGGGTCTGAAGGGTTTGGGAGACTTTGTGAATGTTAGGCTTTCGTTATTCGCTAAAGAATGACAATTGACCATCAGCAACTGAGCCATATATTTGACCTTTGACCTTCAATAGATTTTTTAATTGCTGTATTATTACGGACTAGATTGAACAAATTGAATATCAATCAATCATTTTGTCCTATTGATTTCTTATATAATAGAGAAAATGACACAAACAGCCCCTAAACTTTGACCTAATGTGCAATGTGATCCATGAACTTTTAATTTGTTCAATGTGGTCCTTGAATGTTAATCCAATGTGCGATATGGTCCCTAAACTTTTAATTTGTTCAATGACATCCCTGAACTTTTGGTACATATTCAATTTAGTCCATAAACTATATGAAAATGTTCAATGTAATCCTTCAATTAATTCAAATTCAAGGACTATATTGAACATTTTTATATAATTCAGAGACTACATTGAACATGTATCAAAAGTCCATGGATCACATTGAACAAGTTAAAAGTTCAGGGACCACATTGAACCTTAGGTTAAAGTTTAGGGGCTACATTGAACAAATTAAAAGTTCATGAATCACATTACACATTGGGCCAAAGTTCATTGACTGTTTATGTCATTATCCCTGTATAATACTAGTCCCCCCCCCCCCCCCCCCATTTCTTTAACACATGCAGTTCATTAAGAGCCGAATACATAGATTTTATTTTTCCTTTTCAATTTTTACAATTAGTTATGCCAAAGGCTAGTAATTTAAATTTTCCCATTAAGGAAATTCAAGTATCTAAGCGAATTGAAAATCCCCACTGCTCTCCAGTTGCCTACAATTCCCTCCAGTAAATTTGTACGAGTCTTGTTAATCCTCAACCGTTGTTGTTCCTTAAACCTACATCGGATCATAGCACATGATGGTTGAAACAACCTCCTCAACCATGTTCAAATGTAGCCGCATTTGTAATGTTTTGTCGCTCTCTTTTGAAAAGAGGCGACTTATAGCTTGTTCAACTTTAGACTTTTTGCTGATACTTGAGAAAAGAAAAAATCCATTAAATAAAAAATTTGCTAGAGATCGTTCTCTTTCTTATTCTCACATCTAGAAGATCTCATCCGGACATGACGGTTCTATTTTTCAGCTTGGGAAGAAAAAGGAACTGCTCCCTCCTTATCTCTGAGAGTTCATCTCTTGTAGCTCAGACTCTCATCTGTTTAAAAAGATCAAGCTTTTTGAGATGGGGAAAAGAGGTACTAAATCAAGCGACGGGTAGCCTTGACATTGCTATGTATCCACGAATGCAAATGCTACGTTGTTCATAGGGACATGAAGTTTGCCAACACATACTCGATTTGGGTTCCAATGCGAAATTGGAGGACTTTGTGCCTGACTAGGCTAGTCCACCATGCCAAAGGGTTGCAGACGACGGTACTGGTTGGAACATTTGGTTATATGGCACCTGAATGATAAAGGGATCACACTGTCTTTTCGTTTTTTCTTTTGCAAAGAAGAAAATAGTCCGCAATGGCCCACATAAAATAGTACATGATCAAGTTTCAATTGTATATAGACGAACACATCTAGACGTTAGGCTTAGATAGCTAGCCCATTATTGGCTCATTTATATAATATTACATTAGACTATATTATATATAATAACATTTTTGGGTAATTTGAAGTGATACTTATGTAATTATGAACTTTTGGTATCTTCAAAAAAGATGAAACCCCATAAGATAAATGCAGCTACTCCACTGACCAAAAACAAAATGTACACCTTTTATCATTTCGCTTTTATAATGCTGTTTTATGCCTCATAATTTCCTACATATAATAATACTAAAAAATGCTCACGATAGAGCTCAGTAAATATCTACAGGCCGATTTTTAGAAGGTTCATTAACAGTATGAAAAATAATTTATACCTTTGACATGTGGATGAGCTCGGGTTACGTTATCAAGTCTAAATATACAAGTCATCCATCTAATGATCAATTAGTATAAAAAATTATGCTGACAATAAACTGAATGATAATTCCTTGATTCTATGATCAATCCATTCTTAGCCAACCGTGGACTTTTTTGGAGGAAGGCACTGCGATATCGCCCCAAAGGTGTGCATTCACATGAGCTAAGTAATCAAGTTATTGATTTTTCTATGAAAAAACTTGTTCGGTCCAGACGGTCCGGTCTCACCCTGGAATCGGAAACCAAACCACCCATCATCGATTATAATTTTATGGAATTGGGAATCGGACCAGCTCTCCTAGGAACCGGCCATTCCGGTCCGGTTCGGGCAGCTCTCGGTTCGGGTGGTTCCTGTTGTACACCATTAACCACAACTATCTCCAATCAATATACTAAGCGGGTTTCAATGCGCAAAATGAAAAATATTCAAGATAAATGATATTAGCAATATAATTTCCAGAGATAGTGAATCGAAATTCAAAGGAAAATCTAGACTTTACTCAACCGCGAATTAGGTCACACTTTCAAGGAATTTCATAAACGCTCTCAGAAAATGGATTCCGACAAAACAACAAGAGATCATCTGCGGGTTCACACGAACAAATTCGAAAGACAAAAGAACTAGAATAGAGAAATTTCCTGATTGTTGGACCGCCGAATAAGTCACGAACTGGCCGTGAAAAGTGGACCTCCGAATGTCAGATACTCGACCCTTTTGATACTGTTGAAGAATCAGCTGTCTTGAAAAGCTCATCAAGATTACAGCTTGTTCCAACAATGGATGAGCATCAAACTAGCCACGAACTGGCCAAAAAAAGTGGACTCTAGAATTATGATGCCCGTCTCCTTCGGTTAGATTGGATAACAACGTGCTGTAGAGGCATCCACAATATTCCAACAGGTTCCGACAATGAAGAAACGCGTACTCCCCGCTTTCGTGCAACTGCACACTGGACTTCTAATTAAGACCGAGCAGTCCGATTTATTCGGTTTTTGTCTTGAGAGACCCATTTTCATATGTCCCAACCTCCTAATTCCAGCATGATTCAACAGCGAACCGATGTGGACACATCGATTTCGTGAGGGTGTGCACTGGAGTCACAGTACTGGACAAGGACCTGCTTTCTGTGTTCTCTCTCTATCCTTCATTTTCTTACTCTCTGTTTCCGAGAATGGCTCCCTTTTTGTCGAGTGGTGGCGAAGACCCTCTTCAAAGAAAATCCAGCCTAATCTCCCCGTGAATGATCTCCTCGTGCACCCATTCAATCCCTCTACTTATCCTCTCTTTCAACGCCAGCCTCCACCTCTCTTATTCCCCTTTTTTATTCATTCTTCACTTTTCTTTGTCACCGAGTCCGCTGATGATGCGCCCCCAACAATTCTCTTCCTTTCTTCGATCCCTTCATTCACGGCCAGGCTTGCCTTTTCTTTTGGTTCCCTCAGATACGCTCACCAGCTCACCCTTTCGGCATGCGCGAAATCTCCTTTGCCAACATCCAGGCCATCTCCCGTTTCATATCCCTTTCGATTAGTTTCCCTAGTATTGAGTTACCTCCAATCCCTTTTCAATTTGAAGAGGGTACTTGGTTGTGAGAAGGGCTAGGTTGATGCTAGACTAGGTGAGGGACATATCAAGGTGATTGGGAACGAGAATGGCGACGGGATAATGTCGAGAATGATGTGCCCCGGTGTCATGCACAGCCAAGCACGAGAACAAGGGAGACTCGCATGAGCCCCCACCGTTCAAACTTAACAAATTGAAAGTCATATCAGCAAATTTAAATAACTTGAATTACCAAAATGACGACATTGAACATTTTCATATAGTTTAGGGACTAGATTAAACATTTACGAACAGTTCATAAATCACATTGAACAAATTAAAAGTCCAAAGACGACATTGCACATTGGACCAAAATTTATGGACCATTTGTATCATTTTCCCTAAAATAAAAATGTCATTTAAAGAATATGACGCCAAATAAAGAAATCCATATACTTTAAAATAAAAATAAAATTGAATTTGTGAAAAGTAAATAGTATTCAAACTCTTCTTTTCTATTCAAATATATGTCATCTGACCATGATTATAAGTCTATCTTAGCTCAATTGCAGGTTTAAACTTTCAAGTTGTATTTTGCAAGTCCGATTGACAGTGATAACAAAAAGGAGTATAAACACATGTGAAAACAAGTTTATAATATATGCCGGCCACGTAACTAGTTGCTCTTGGTTGCACAAATTCTCATTTGTTCTCAGTTGCAACGGATTCCAAACCTTGTTATGTTAAACGCTTATTAATCAAGAAAACAAGAATCACTATAAGTTGTATTTGGCAACCAGTCGACCGGGAAAAAAAATGAACAGAAGAGGTAGCTCTTGCCATACCATGCAACTATAACCCACGCTCCTCCTTTTCCATTGGTAAACTGAATCGCGAGCGGATCGATCAATTCACTAGTGAATGAACAATTCGATACATATCTATCTTTTCAACTAATTCATGATTTCTTGCATGTTTATTTCCTATCAAATGATGTAACTTCCGTCCTTGATTCTATATTTATGTTTCGAAATGCACAAATGTAAATTTTTATTCTTCGCAATATACTTATGAATGAAACGACAAATAAAGATTTATTTATTTAGATATAGATGGGAAAAATTATCAAAAAAATCTTAAACATATTACAATTTTGTCAATTCAGTCATCAACCTTTTTTTTTGTCAATTGAGTCCTAAACATTTTGTATTTGTGCCAATTGAATCTATACGGTCAATTTTGGCCGGAAATCGTTAATGTGGATACCGGTCGTCTTACGTGGCATAGCCAGTGCTGATGTGGATAATTTTTACCAGTATTTTAATTTTTTTTCGAATTTTTACAATTGCCACATCCGGCGCTAACGTGGACAATTGCAATAAGTTTAGAACTTTTTTTGATAATTTTCTTGATATAGATGCGATCCTTGTGTCAACAAAGCAATGAGAATTATTATATGCATAGAAAAGTCATCCTCGATTTTGTGATTTCTTTTCATAGATTATGGATCTTGCTTAAAATATTTTGCATTGTATAATATATATATGCCCATCACACAAAATATTAATTTTAGGTATTTTGTAGGATCTTGCGATTTGATTTGCACCCTTGATTCACGATCCGCGAGTTCATTATTTTAATTCACAATACATTTGTCTCTCCTCGGCCACTATCTCTCCTTCACTCTGCCCACACCACACTCTCTCTCTCTCTCATGTAAAGTTAGTAGAATTGGTTTTTTTGCGGATGGGTAACTGGTAGAGCTGTCAAAATGAGTCTGTGAATTTTTCACCCCAAATCCATTTTATAATTCATACATGATAATCTGAGTATTTATATGAGTCGCTAAAATTTGACAAATGTGTAATTATTGGGTTTTGAGTAGTATGGCCTATGCGAGGGTCTCCGACAGAGTGAGGTTTGGATTTGTTGGAGCATATGTTGACCAAAGGGATTCGGCCTAGTGCCATCACTTACGCTTCGATGTTTTATGTGGTGTGCGACCGTGGCAAATGGACCGAAGCTGTCCAAGCTGATGCAGCTAATTATTAGTGAAGGCATTCGGTTTGGTGTTGACGCTTAAAGCCATCTCATTGGAGTTCTATGTTACTCTTTCCAACTTCAAGAGACTAGATTATAGTTTAACATTATGGAGCAAAGCAAAATAACCCCGAATTTTGCAGCCTTCAATCTTAAAGTGCATACACTTTTTCCCTATTGGGAACAAGGGCAAGTGTTGCAGAGGCAAGAAGAGTACTTAGTGCTGATGGTTTGTAAAATGGATGAGCACGGGTTCTAGGGAGTTAAGGGATTGCTAGGTGGGTTCTTATAAGCCTCTTGCGAGGTGGCGCTTACCCTTCGCACAGGCTCTCCCAAACCCTACTGAATATAACTTGATTTTGTCGTTTATTAGTAGTTGAATGAGACTAAAGTCACTACAAACCCATTCTAGGCCAATTAGGAGCTAAGTAAGGCAGGGTAAATCGCCTTACTTTTGCAAACTATAGATTTCGGGTTTGGAGAGTTGGTTACCCTAGTTTTATCTAGGAAACTCTAACTAGCAAATGATAACAAATAATAAACTATCAAAGAAGATACATACTACCTTACCTAATCCTGGAGATCAAATGGAAGTCTAAACATGAAGGATTAATATTGCGGTACATATGAAGAAATACATATGGAGTTGATGATATCCGAATCAAATCTCAAATTACAATTCAAACTGATTTTATTGAATGAAGTGGATTATATTGTATTTGGGAGCAATGCAGAGAAATCTGGATGAGACGATTGTATAGAAAAGGCAGTAAATGTGGACACTTCGATGTCATTGGTCTTGGTGGCATAAGACGTAACAATTGATGTTGTAGAGAATGTGGATAGAGGTACCTGGTAAGTAGGGATTGGCAATTTTAATGGGAGAAGGGGCGGTGAATCGTTGAAGTTGAGAACGCTAAATGCTTTTCTTATGGAAGGACGAGCAGTGTGGTCCGGATGAGTGCACCACAGCCCTACAACCATTAAGCACTCTAGTTGCATTTCATTGAAATCGGTACCAAGTTTCGAGTCTGCCGCATCAAGTAATCTCTCGGTCCCGTATAGCTCCCAAACCCAATCCACCAGCCAAACTTGGCCTTCCTCGACCCTTGGCTCAACGACTTTTCTTCCACAAGCTATTTCTAATAAGACAACTCCGAAGCTATAGACGTCTGACTCCCTACTTGCTTTGCCCGTGTAAACGCATTCAGGAGCCATATAGCCCCTAGTTCCTGCCAACACCGTCGTTTGTAACCCTTTGTCATGGTCAACTAGCCTAGCCAAACCAAAGTCTCCTAATTTAGCATTGAAATCAAAATCGAGCATGATATTACTAGATTTTATATCCTGGTGCAGGACACATTGTTCCCATTCTTCATGGAGGTAAAGCAATGCCGAGGCTATGCCTTGCGCAATTTTGTACCGCTTCTCCCAAGGCAAGAAGGTTTGTTCTTTGAATAGATGAGAATCGAGACTACCATTAGACATGAACTCATAGATAAGGAGGAGTTGCTTTTTCTCGTGACACCACCCAATGAGTTGCACTAAGTTTCTATGCCGGAGCCGACTTATGGTCTTCACTTCGGTGGCATACTCCTTTATCCCTTGTCTTGACCCTGGGCTAATCTTCTTGATTGCGACACTAGCATTCATGCTGGTTAAGTAACCTTCGTACACTCTCCCAAAGCCCCCTTCCCCAAGCAACCGTTCCACTGCGAAATTATCGGTTGCTGCGATCAAGTCCTTGTAGGAGAATTTCTTGGGCCCCGACACTTGCTCGAATTCTTCTTCGATCGCCGCATCATCTTCTTCTCCACTCGTGTAAGTTCTCTTTCTCTTCAAATGTTGACGAAACCAAATAAAGGCTACAACAAGAATGAGCAAAATGAAAGAACTAGAGCCTAAGATAGACCATAGCCATAACTTGCTCTTTGGTGATGCATCTGTACCATTTGCTGGAATCGAATTATTTGCTTCAGCCACTTGCACAGTAGAGCTGAATTCCCATGCCTTAAGAGTGTGCAACTCGAAATTCCAAGCTGTGGTAGCCGAGAAACCGAAAGTCACCCACTCCGGCAAATACTCAGTTAAGTTGGCTCTGTAATTGATAGTAGAGGAATTTATATTGGTACCCGTGGCATTGGCGTCTATTATGAGAACGCTCAAGTTTTGTGTGCTAGAATTGTACGTTATCGTTGCGTTGATCTGCCCACCGCTCATGATTTTATCCTCAAACCAATCGACGCAGCTATAGTTCGTGGAATTGAGATTATTCATGTCTATACCGATATGTGCAGCTTGTGGACAATCCGGGTCAAACCCTAGGTTGTAGAAAGTGTCGAACTCGACAGCTACAAACCATGCAGAAGAGTTGGAAGGGTCGCGATCTTGATCCACAACAGCCAAGCTGCCTCCGCCTGAGTTGAGCAGGAGTTGAGACCCATTGGGGACAAGAAAGAAGGTCATTCCATCAGCGAATTCCGTGTGTCCTTGAGAATTGATGACGAAGGTGAATTGGGTGGTGAAATCCGCCACGTTCCCAGTCGCCTTATCCCAAAGGTGCATCGGCTGGTGGTACGTGGCCCACCCCGTGCTCCCATGGAGGTTCTGGTCTACAAAGGCTTTTGTAAGTTGGATGGAGTCGCGCGAAACCGACGCATCGCCTAGGAGTTGAATCCTATCATTGTTGAAAGTTTGGAAGCTGAAATCGATGCCCTGTGACGATGCCGAAGCCATGAAGGCAATGGCTAGAGAGAGAACCAAGACTAGTAAGAGTGATCGAAGCGCTCTGGTCTTGAAACTCATGATATCTGCTGAGCCGTGAAGTTTCATTCTCGTTGAAGTTTCTACGCTGCCCTTGAAATCTGGGATTGAGCACAGCTCTTTGGTGTTTCAATGACTTTTCTTTGGTTGAAGAAATTGCAAATCCCTTCAACCACCATAGTCCACACGCGCTTCCACGACGCCTAGTCTCTGGACTTGAAAAAAAAATAGAAGAAGAAAAGAAAAGGAAAACAATTGAAATGATGGCCCGCGCTGCCGGCATAGACGAGAAAATATTAAGTGCCGTGCGCCACTCCCACTCCACGCATTGCGCTGCCGGCATAGACGAGAAAATATCAAGTCTCTTGACTTGAAAAAACTATTTTTTCAGATTTTTATCTCTCTCCTTCCTTACTCTCTCTCTCTCCTCTCACCGCCCCTTCGTTTTCTTCGATACTTAGACGTAAAATAAATGAACAGATTTGACGTGATTTTGCAATTCTTTTTTAAAATTTTCTGACCCTTTTCTTTTTCGTTTCTTTTCTTTCCCACACCATTATTCATCTCCTTCCTTATCGCTCATCTCCTTCTTCCACTTCATTGCCAAGAAGACATCACCGTTCATCTTCCTTTTTTATGTGGCCACAGGTCGCGGTCCTCGCCCATATCCGCAATCTCTGTCTCTCCTCTCTAATCGCTTGCATTTCTCCGCAAGCAAAAAGTAATAAAATCTCACTCGTCTCACATCGTCGAATCGCAGATAACATTGCCGCAACAATCTGCAAAGAACAATTCTTCACTGATACTCCTTCACTTCAATCATAACGATTCGTATACGTTAGAGAAGCTGAAGGGAGAGATGACCCCTTCCCACTTCGTCACTCCTCGGTGACAAGAAACGGTTTCCAAAAACGGAGTTCGAAGAAGCCATAATGAAGCTGACCCCACAAAGAAAAGGTGGCCCCAATCTCAACAGGTGGCACTATCATCATCTCCTTTCGCAGGTCGCCCAAACGCAACTAGCCGAAAACCGACCATCACAGTCAAGAAGTCATGCCCAATGAGTTCCTGTGCCCTGTTTCGTGGTCTCTCATGGCCAACCCAAATCTGGGCAAGGGTCGCCGGCCGTCACCGAGATTCCGGTGAAGCCCCACCAATCCTCTCCGGCGATGATGGGGCGGCATAAAAATGGAACAGTAAGGAAAATGAATAAAAGAACAAAATCAAAACAACAAAAGTTTGAAAAAAAAAAAAGGAACGAAGATCGAGACCGTTAACAGTAAAAATAAAAAATTCAAGAGTTAATTTCACAAAAAACTCCAAACTCTTATATTTACGATCAATTTACCCAAAATTAATTTTTTATCATAAAAAATCCCAAACTGATATACATATGACAAATTTACCATAAATTAATTTTTTGACCACAAAAAATCTCAAATGAGTACACTTATAACAAATTTACTTTCCGTTAACTCCCGTTAAATTTTACCGTTAAATGGACATGGCAAGTCCATGTGGAAATCCATAGGGTAAATACCATGAAAAACCTCAAACTGGTACACCCGTGACAAATTGACTGTATTAGTTTGGGATTTTTCGTGATATTAACCCTATGGATTTTCACGTGGACTTGCCACGTCATCATACGACGTCACCATGTGTCATCCACGTCAGCAAATTTAACGGTAAAATTTGACGAAGGGTAAATTTATCACATGTGTATCAGTTCGTGATATTAACCCTATGGATTTTCACGTGGACTTGCCACGTCATCATACGACGTCACCATGTGTCATCCACGACAGCAAATTTAACGGTAAAATTTGACGAAGGGTAAATTTATCACATGTGTATCAGTTTGGGATTTTTGGTGGTCAAAAAATTATTTTGGAGTAAATTTGTCACATGTATACTAATTTTAGATTTTTCGTGGTAAAAAAAATAGTTTGGGGTAAATTTATCATAGGTGTACCAGTTTGGATTTTTCATGGTATTAATCCAAAAATCAAACAACTTATAGAAGATCATTCTCTATATTCTCAAAACGACTTGGCTTTAAGAAATTCTATAAGTTTTACAAAAAATAAAGAGATATCAATTTAAACTTTTGGTAAGACAAAAATTAATTTTGAAAAAAAATGTATTTTTGAGATGTCAGTTTGAAATTTTTAGTAGTATTAGCATGATCTTAACAATGACGGAATAACAAATGTTAACCGAATTGATTGAATCTGGATGCAATCATGAAATTAACCCTAAATTTTGTTTGGAAATTGCATATAACAGATATACGAAAAATGATGGTGGTTTTAAGCTCTGAGAGAGAGCAATTCAACCCTAAACCATAACTCCTTAGACTTTTCTCCTTTTTTCACCTAAAAGCTTTTATAGGCGAACATTTGACAACTCAAAGTCGCTATTAATTTCATGATCTTCATAAAATTCACCGCTTACGTCGCATCTTTTGTCTCCCAAAGTTCATAAATTATCTCACAGTGTCAATTATTCTCATCCACCCTTATGTAGTATATCGCTCGCATTCGTAAGCCTAGCTAGCCCATGGCATTCTTCACATTGCCACCAACTCTTCACGCTCATCAAGCATTGAGTAGTTATTAGGATTGTTCAATCATAACCATATGGTATTCATCGATTTTGAGTCTCGAGGCCAAGCATTGAAAGTGCGTCTTAATAGCCAAAATGGCTATATCGGGTGCAAGTTGATGCGGCCGATGCTCGATGTATAGCATTATCATGAAACCGAGCAAATCTAAACGTTCCAACCAAATCAAGTCATGTCAATGATGACAATTAGACGACTATTGTCGAGAAATGTTTGTACTCACCTCAGGCGTCTCTTTTCTTCATAAAGGAAGAGGTCAACTCAAATCTTGGATCGATGTATATGGATGGAAAACAAATGGGGAGACACTTATCCTGTCTTTTTTCTTTCTTACATCTCGTGTGAGCCTTCCACTTTTTTGGTGATTACGACCTAATTAATCTGTTATTCTGTACTAGATTTAGCTCTAATAGATTCCGGTCTTGAGCTATTAGTGCTTTGTCAATTTGCCCGAGGATGAGAAACCGTTTGATACAATATCCCGTAACAACTTCATCACAATTGTAGAATCTTTAAAGTCGCAGCAGCTTCTAATAACTTTTTAGGAAACTACCTCTCTCAAATTAGAGATGCTGTAACTTTAAAAGATGCACTACAAAACATAAAAATTGTAACGCTTCGATGCACAATTATAATTTAGCTACAATTATACGAAACAGGCTTGAAGTCATCGTTCGTTCCAATGAAGCTCCAAGGGTTCCAAACTAAATTTCTTTTTCTGCCGGCCTGGATGATCCAAATAATTGGATTTAGTCATATATGTGTTGCAACTAGTTTTAATCATTAATTTACAAAAGGATTGGTCTAAATTGGACCCAACATTGGATCTTTGGCACGGTTTGTTCGTACATAGTTCCTACCAATGTTTTGACTCCTAAAGTCAGGAAAAACAATTTCAGATCGACAGAGTCCATACATGAAAGGCCAATCCATCACCTTTCAAATCCACCTGACAAAATATTTCATGTGTACTTATGGTTGGCTGTTTCGTATCGACTTGTTCTGAGTATGACCTATCAGGATGAGGAGAAAAATATTTTTCTCTCATTCACAAAATTAGTAATATGTTTTTCTCAAGTCTCTTTGACCAACTTAGCAGTCTATTGTTTCATCATAGTTAAGCAGATTCCGATAATGATCTCATTAAGTACCAGGGCTTATAATCTCGTGTTACTATATAAAACTTCAATTTACATCGATTCAATACACGTTTGTCGTTCTTGACGTGGGTCTATGTACCAACTTTTCCATGTTAGTCCATGGTAGTGCACCTTGGCGCTTACAAATTACATACCATGTAGGCAATGTCTAATACAAGTATTAAGGTATAAAATCTAAAAAGAATTATACTCATAATCTAACTCTACGAGAATATAAATGTAGACATATTTTAATTTGATGTTGGAATTAGAGGCATCAAGTTTGATTTCTGAAGTCTCATTTACTCAATTTGGGGGTTTCCCTTTCATTACACGCAAAGGGACTTCAACAATTGTCATATTCTCCTTCATCAGTGATTAGAGAAAAATTTTCTCCTCCCGACATTGTATAAGCGGACTCTTTCTGTCTCTCTCTTCATATTATATACCATTGTGCATGAATTATTAAGATGCGAATGATAATCACAAATCTGTCTCGTGTGTCGAAAATCTTCATCTCTAATGAAGTTGACCTGACAAAGAAAAAGCAAGACCAAATTTAAAAAGAAAAAGTGAGCTAACACGTTTTACATGGAGCACTAATGCTATCATGTGTGCCTCGGTCCGACATTTCCCAATCTTACGAAGGTTTGGAACATAACTCAATGACATCGAGAGAAGCACGAGAGATGCGAAATGAAAGATGCAACTAAATTGTTAAGGTGGTGTTAGAAAGTTTATGTTAGGAATCTACTTATAAAAGGAATACGGGCATTAGCCATTCATATAGGATCTGGGGGAGAGACGGTGATGATTAGGGAATGCAAGGGAGCAAAAGAATAGCCGCAACGTGATTAAGTGAGGAAGAATGTCACAGACTGACATTTCCTAATTCCATGAATGCATGGAGCTGAACTTTGTAATACTAGGAGAAGCATGCGAGATGCAATACGAACGATTCAATTGGTTCGTGAGAGTGGTGTCGGAGAGTTTGCACTAGGAATCTACTAAAGAAAGAAATATCATGTGAAAGATGTCTAGAGGCGAGGCTGACCACTTGTATACAAACTGGTCGGGAGCTAATGTCGTTTCTTAGATAATGGCTACGACATGGCAAAACTAGTTGTTATGTTGAATCGAGACGCATGCTCCGCTCGAGATGATAAGATGCCCAAGTTGATGTGAGAGATGGAACAATCGGTCATGATGAGGCATTGTACGATGCAAGCCATGGAAATGATCCTTAGAAAGGAAGCCTGGCTAGGTGCCATACGGTGATCGAGGCCAATTGGCCCCGACCGTGACACCATGTGACCATTGTGGTAATTCCTTCACATGAAAGATAATTGTGTAATCA